CCTTATATCCTATAATAAGAATGAATAGAGCTGGGTGCAGTGGTACATGCCTGTAATTCTACCAACTCAGGAAGCTGAGGCAGGAGGATCTCAAGTTCAAGGCCAGCCTCAGCAAATTAGGGAGGCCCTAAGGAACTAAGGGAGACTTGTCTCAAATAATAAAAAGGGCTGGGGATATAGCTCAGTGATAAAGTGCCCTTGGGTTCAATCCCTAATACCAAAAATAAAAAAAGGTGAATAAAGCCAGGGACTGTAGCACATACTTGTAATCCCAACTGTTTGGGAGGCTGAGACAAAAAGATTGTAACATTAATTAATTAGGATTTATTCATCTGTTTATTTTGGGGTGGCACTTTGGATGGAACCCAGGGCCTCATCCATGCCAGGCAAGGCTCTACTGCTGAGCTGCATCTCCAGCCCTTAATTAGGCTTTAAATTTCATCAGTTCCAATTTCCTCCAGAAAAATTCTGTAGACAGATTTGCTTTTGTTTGCTATTCCTGCAGCTTGAGCAATTCCATGTACCACTTATAATAAAATTGGGTTCTTTGAGCGTGACTTATGGAGATAAATTAGAAATGAGTCATAGAATTAAAAGACAATGAGTTTTCAGGAAGCCACAAGTGGAAAAGTGATTTTTGTATGCACATTTACAAAAAAAAAAAGCAAAGTAAGTGTGTGTGTGTGTGTGTGTGTACGTGTGTGTGTACACACATATACACACACATATATAATATATATACATATATATAATATATACATATATATATAATAATTTTATTAATTTGCCCAAGAGGGAGAGCACAGAAGTGTTTAGGTATAAAGAAATATAAAACTGATAAATTGTATTGACAGTTCCTAATTTAAGGTAGATAATATGCCTCTGTTATATTTGTTAACTTTTTTTTAAACTTTAATATTTATTTATTTATTATTTGTATGTGGTGCTGAGGATTGAACCCAGGGCCTTGCACGTATGAGGTGAGCGCTCTACCACTAAACCATAACCCCAGCCCCTATACCTGTTAACATGCTAGGGTATTTTTATTGCTTTATAGAATTGGTGGAAGGAAGTTTTTGAGAGTTTTCTGGGTTTCTCTCCCAATCTGTTATTTCCCTTAAAATTTCACTTTCCCCTTGTGAATGTTTTCAAAATTATTTTCAGGATTGTGACTCTTAGGAGCAGGAAGGGAATACTTTACTGAATTTGAAGTGATAGCGGAGTCCCAAAAATATTTTGAGGGCATTTGATAAATGTTAATACTTGTTCACCTGTATCCTTTGGTTTTTGGTTCTTTGAACCTTTCTTATTTTTGTCTCATCAGCAATCCACTCTCTTCTACCCTTTTTCACAATCCTGAGAACCCTTCTGAGTAGTTACCATTCTAAGAACATGGTTTCATTTTGTCAGAGGGAATTATCAGTTCTAACTGCTGAGGGGTTACAAAGTTGAGGTATCAGCATTTCTTCTTGTAAGTACAAAATGTATTTTTTCCCTGTTTTGAGTTTTTTTTCTTAATTTTTTTCATTTGTAGATGGACACAAATAGCTTTATTTATTTTTATGCGGTGCTGAGGATTGAACCCAGGGCCTTGCACATGCTAGGCAAGCGCTCTACCATTGAGCCACAACCCCAGCCCCTGTTTGTGTTTTTATAATGACAAAACAGAAGGGAAAATAATCTGAATGGTATATTGCTTATCTAAGTCAAGATGAGGTGAGTGGGCCCCTACCATGTAGGCCAGAATAAATATCTGTTAGGAAGTGCATATGATGTTAAAAGTTTGGGAATAACATCAAATAAATCCATCATGGTATGTTAGGTTAGTATTGTCAAGCCCCCTGAATATTGGGAGTATTCTGAGCAGGGCAGCGCCATGATCAAAGCAGTGTGTCAGGAGGATTAATTTGCAGATTGCAGGAAGCCTCAGTCCTTGGCACCAACCCTTATAGGGTTCCCGGTCATTTGTTGTGGGAGTGGCAGAAAGAAGCAAGGCCACTTGAGAGGCTATTTTCATGCCTCAGGGATCCGGAAATACGAAACTGAGGGGGAGTGGTGAAGGGGATAATAACAGGGACAGATTCCTGAGAAGTCCTGGAGAAGTAATTGACAAGATTGGCAACCTGACTGAATGTAAGTGGGAAGAAAGTAAAAGGCCATAGTGGTTTTGTGAGGAGAAAGATAGGTTTTATCCAGATGAATATACTCAGTCTGGTGATGTTAGGTCCTACCTACCTTGAGTATGTGGATTTTGTGACTCATCTTTGTGCAAATGGTAGTTGAACCATGAGAACAGAAAGCAGAAGAGGGCTGAGTGCACTCGTCTGGGCAAGGCCTTCGGTAAGGAGTCAGGGGTGGCTTGGTGGCTAGCAGAAACAGAGGAAGGACTGAACTTCAAAATCAAGGGAACTGATTATCTGTCACACTCTAATAGAAAACCAAGGAGGAGGAAAGCCAAGAGACAGAATTGTTTTGCAGGTGGAGAATTTTTAGAGCTGGTGATGGGATTGGGTTTATATAGGGAAATTTGAGGTTATAGGGCTTAAGTACCTTAACGAATCCTCTTTATTGCCTTCTTTTTTAAAAAATTTTTAGTTATAGTTGGACACAACATCTTTATTTTAATTATTTTTATGTGGTGCTGAGGATCGAACCCAGCGCCTTACACGTGCTAGGCAAGAGCTCTATTGCTGAGCCACAATCCCAGCCCCTTTATTGCCTTCTTAATTGGCTTAATTTCTTGTAATATTTCATTAGGCTTAGAAGATTAACTTGCACTTATCATTTTATAATTACATTTTTAAAGGGGAAAAGAATTTTATGGCCAGAGGTGATTTTGGCAAGGAGAGGACAGGGAAGACTTATTCAGAGCTTGTACATTTTGTTTTTCATGGTTGAACAATTTTTTTGTTTTGTTTATTAATCTAGCCATTATTTGCTTTAATTTGAAGCAGTTTGAATAACATGAAACAAGCTATTTCTTCAAGACGAATAGAATGTCTCATAGCTGACATGTTGAAAATCCATTTGTTTATTATACAAATGTTGAGCTTCTCATGAATATTTCAAGGACTACATGTGTGTAATTTAGTATCTAAAAATAAGACACAAAAACCATAATATACGGCAAACAAATACAGTAAGAGAAGAAGGATAAAATGCTATGGTAATTCAAATGGAGAAATTATTTCCAAAGCAGAGATGATAAGGGTAAAGTATTCCAGGCAGAAGGGACCCTGAGCTAGATGCAGAGTTGGGGGTCTTTCAGGAACTTGAATGTTTTTGTTTTTGCTGAAGTGTATGTGGGCCCATGCATGGTTGTATGGGAGGTGCTTAAAGGAAAGTTAGAGGAGCCAAGAAAGGTAGGTTGGAGCCAGAGCTTAGGAAATGGCAGGAGCTTGTACTTTATTTGGAAGCAGCAGAGATCCATTAGCATTTTTGAATAAAGGAATGATGTCACATAGCTGATGCTTTAGATATTGAGTTGTATTTCTGTTATTTAAAATTTTAATAAGAAACGTCATCAGCAAAAAAGAAAGATGCTCTGTTTAGATTAGATTAGGAAAAAAATAAAATAAAACCAAGTAAGTGTAAGCCTATAATCCCAGCCACTTGGGAGGTTGAAGCACAGGAGGGTTACAGATTTCAAGGCTAGCCTTGGCAATTTAGCGAGACCAAGGACTGGGGATTGTAGTTTAATGATAAAGCACCCCTGGGTTCAATCCCCGGTAGGGTATGTGGGGGAGGTGGTGAGAAAATAGATAGGGAGGTTTTAGGTAGTACTTAAAAGTGAGTAAACACAATCTCTGATGTCTGTACTTTTGAAACAAATTACATTATATTAAGAAGTACATTATTTTATTGGCTAAGGTTCTTTTAAAAAGTTTTTGGCTTAAGTAGAAAAGGGATAATTAAGGTCATTGGGATGTCTTGCAAAAACCTAAGGCAGAAATATTGGTGGGCCCCAGAAATTTCTAGAACCAGGAGCCACAAAGCTGTTAATAATTCTCTCTTCCCTGTTTTATCCATTCAGTTTCTCAGGGTATTCACACAGTTTTTTTTACTTTTTGTTTGTAAACTTTATCTCACTAATCTAAGCCAAAGTTGGAAAATGACCTTCCTCATCTCCAGTGTTCCAGTCACCAGAACAGGGGGAGAGTGGGAGGGTGAGCAAGAGAGAGTAAAAGAAGGACAGAGACAGAGAGGGAAAGGTATTGATTCTTGCCCATGGTTTCAGGTTCTTAGGAATAGGACTTTGATTTTATTATGCTCAAAGATGAACTTATTTTTACCATTTTATAGCTAGTACCAATCACCTAGGCCAGGAGAGTATCAGTACACTGTGGGAATTAATCAGAGAGTTATTTAAAAGAGAGGACATGTAAGTTCAGCAGAAATCCCAAAGGGTGTTCACTAGGATTATGCATTATAATTTTTTTTACCATTGTTCAATATATTGATTGAAAGAAGACTATATTAAACTTAAGAGAAGTTATGTGAAAATTGTGCAGGAATTTCCCCCAGTAAGCTTTAAAATGTGTTTAAGTTGAACTTTAACAAAACCATTTAACCTTGGGAGTGTGAGGTATATAGACTGAGGCAATAATGCTAGAATCATGGAAATATTCTATATCTTGATCTGGGCAATGTTATGAAGGTTTATGTATATGTTAAATTCATCAAGATGGGGACTGGGTTGTGGCTCAGGGTGCTCGCCTAGCATGTGCAAAGTCCTGGGTTCAATCCTCAGCACCACATAAAAATAAATAAAAAAATAAAGATTGTGTCCAACTACAACTAAAAAATGAATATATTTTTATATGTAAGCAGTACCTCAGTTTAAAATGAAGTTTAAGTGAAAGTGATCTTTTGATTTATTTGTTATATTTTTCATAGATATTCATCTGTCACATAATTTTGAGTGTCTGAAATGAAAATATGACATTTTTAATACATGATATAAAACGTTAATGTTTGGTTTACCTTTTTCCTTGATTTAGGAGCTGTGACTGATGAGAATTAAAGGCCATGGATGAAGATGGACTTGAATTACAACCACAAGAGCCAAACTCATTTTTTGATGCAACAGGTATAACTACTTGGGTTGTTCCACTTTGTATCTACCACATTTAAAGTTGATTTTCATGTGGATGAATTGCTAGACTCTCACGTTGACTGATATTCACACTTAAGTATTTTGTTAATCCTGTCAGGATCTATGAATGTGAAAGTAAGCATATTATTATTCTCCTTCTGAAAAATTTGACTCCTTCACAATCTACCCTAATATTCTTGTCAGTATAGGTTTAATATCCCTAATATAAAAATTCAAAATACTCCAAAATCCAAAACTTTTTGAGTGCCAACGTGAAGCCACAAGTAGAAAATTCCACACCTGATCTCATGTAATGGGTTGTCAAAACACAGGCAAACTAAAAATATTGTATAAGATTACCTTCAGGCTATGAATATAGGGTGTATATGAAACAAATTAATTTCATGGTTAGGCTTTGGTTCTATTCCCCGAGATAACTCATTTTGTATGTGCAACCTTTTTCAATATCTGAAAAAACAAAAACAAAAACTTCTGGTTCTAAGCATTTTGGATAAAGTATACTCAACTTGTAACAATAGCAATATCAAAACCTTAGTGTTATCTTCAGTTATTCTCATCTTGCTCAGTTATCTCACCGACTTCTGTTGGTTGTCCCTGTGAAACTGTTCCTTGCTTACATCTCCTCTTCATTGTAGTCTGTCACATAGATAGGCTCTATCATTTCATTCTTAGTTTGTAATAACTTTTGAATTATTTTTCGTACCGTAAATCTCATTTATCTAGCCTACTGATCAGAGTACTCATCATAACAGTGGATCATGTCATTTCTTTGTTCTCTGTTACCCAGCAGATAAACTATAAATCCAAGGTCCTCTACATCCTGACCCTGTCCTACTTTCATAGTGTTCTATCTCAAAAGTTCCCAAAAAGAGCAGTCTGCTTCGGGAAGATGATCTTAGTTCCCTCCCTGAGTGTACAAGGAAGATTGTATTCATGAAGTTTTGAAATGGGGGAAAAAAGTTTCATTATTTTGGGAGTATCCAGTGTTCTAATTATGTAACATTGTAACGTGATTATAGTTGGTTTTATAATGTAACACGATTTTATATCACACTAGCCTAGCTATCCTTATAAGTAAGATGTTAATGAGTTTTCCATTAGACTTGAAATGATCATATTGCAAGAAATTAAAGAAATAACAATTAACTTTATCAGAAAATTAAATATTAGTGACTTTCAGTTTTTGAATTTTTCTTACCTTTAGTTGGGGGAGGTTGTATGTTTTTCTTAATAACTTGGAATAGTCTTTGATGTTTGGTAATTTCTGTTTGATCATGATAAATGCCAAATTTATAATTCTTAATTGGAACAAGAAGTATAATTAACTTGTGCTTGAAAGAGAGGCCAGGCTCTTTGGAGAAAAATGCACAGTATTTGTTAATCTTGCCATAAGCAAACTTGGGTTGTGGACTAAGTGGTAGATTGAATTAACACTTATGGTATTTGTTTATCTTTGAGCAAGTCACTTAATCTGCCAGGGCCTCCGTTTTCCAATGTCGTAATAATAATGAAACCTCTCATTACAGTTTTTCAGACTACTTCCCATACATTCCCATTTGATCATCACCACAGTCTTGTGAGGTATGCATGGCAGATACTATTGTCCTCATTTTACTGATGAGGAAACTGAAACTCAGAGGTTAAATGACTTGCCCAAGGTCACAAAACTATTAAGTGTATAATCCTCCTCTCTGATTTAGATTTTGTAATCAGTGCCACTAAATGCATTTCTCTTCATGTCTGCCAAATGGAGATTTATCACTTGACAATAATATTGAAGATAAAGTTGAATATTCTTGATTTCTAGAAGTAATTAAAATGATTATTACTTTTTAAAGACTTTCTATAATTTTTAATATTCTTTGGCTTTTACTCATTTGTGTTTGTTGACCTGGCCAGTGACACGGAGTCATTGAGTTAGGCACCTGCTTGGACTCAGGCTGGTCTGAGTCTCAACCAGAAGTACTAATAGCTTTTTTTGGTTAAGACATATAAAACTCTCTTTGCTTTTCCTCTGAACCAGCAGCCATGATATTGGTTTTAATTTTATTTTGTTTTATATTTTTGGTAACGATGTTTCTCTTCTCATTTATGGCATTCATTTGGAGTAATATTTACTGAGCACCATATGCTGTGCAAACAACTGTGTGATCTTGGTTAAGTCATTTAATCTCATTGGGCTACAACTGATTCAATCCTCTACCTTGATTCCTTAACTGTAACATGGACAAGATCAAAGTTTCCTATATTGTGAAGAACTGCCTTGGGGGTTGGGGTCCTGGGGCAGGGAGGAGGCTCTACGGAGGAGGAGTACTCTGGTGAAGTTGGGGTAGGGCCACTCTAACTACCCTCATTCTGTACTGCCCTAGCGCAGCTCCGCTTTTGTTCTTTATCTATCCACAGGGATAGATATCCTTGACCAATTGTCTTTCCTCCTAAACTGTGACCTTCTTATCCCTATTTTGATTCATGCCCTGATCCTTTTATGTCATATTCAGAGATTAATATCTAATTTTCCATAGTCATAGATAGAGAATGTTGGTGGTCTATTAGAACATATGATGTAAAGGAAGAAAGGGGGAAAATGGAAGGGAAGTAAAAGAAACACATGGGAGAGATGGAAAGAAGATAAAACATGAGTTGAAGAGGGTGAGATGGAGCAAGAAGGAAAATAAATTAAACACATATACCGAAGGAAAATGGTATATTTGCCACCTGAAGTGACATTATATAGTTTTTATAATCATCCCTAAAGTAACTATGAATATGAGTTTAATTTTAGAGTATCTAGAATTTTACTTTCCTAAATATATTTCTTCTGTGACTGCCTCAATTGCTTTGTTGTTCTAGTGTTTATCCATTGATTTAAGTGTATGAAATTTGTTGTGTTTAAAAATATCTTTCCAATATGATTAAAAAATAGATTCCCTCTTTATTTCTTAATGTTGAGAAAACTGAGGAACTAGTCTGTTGTCCTGGTAGGAGTTAAGTAACATTTACTCAATTGTTATAGTCACACACTGACCTGAAATTCGTCATTTTATTTATTTATTTTTTAAGGAGCTGATGCAACACACATGGATGGTGATCAAATTGTTGTGGAAGTACAAGAAACTGTTTTTGTGTCAGATGTTGTGGATTCAGACATAACTGTGCATAACTTTGTTCCTGATGACCCCGACTCAGTTGTAATTCAAGATGTTATTGAGGACGTTGTTATAGAAGATGTTCAATGCCCAGATATCATGGAAGAAGCAGATGTATCAGAAACCGTCATCATTCCTGAGCAAGTGCTGGACTCAGATGTAACTGAAGAAGTTTCTTTAGCACATTGCACAGTTCCAGATGATGTTTTAGCTTCTGACATTACTTCAGCCTCAATGTCTATGCCAGAACACGTCTTGACAAGTGAATCTATACATGTGTCTGACGTTGGGCATGTTGAACATGTGGTTCATGATAGTGTTGTAGAAGCAGAAATAGTCACTGATCCTCTGACCACCGATGTAGTTTCAGAAGAAGTATTGGTAGCAGACTGTGCCTCCGAAGCAGTCATAGATGCCAACGGGATCCCTGTGGACCAGCAAGATGATGACAAAAGCAACTGTGAGGACTACCTTATGATTTCCTGTAAGTCTTGGGGTATGGTGATTGTCAGAGGTGTTTTTGAAGGCTGCTTTTCCTAAGTTAAATCGTATCTGGGGTGAGATTTCTCTTAACTTACACATCTATAAAATTAAAAAATAAATTTTATAGATCTACCTGCATTATTGTTTTCGTTTGGAGCCTATAAGATTACTCATGATTTCTTCAGTCTAGAAAGACACAGGCTGAATGGAACTGAACTTTGTGAAATCATGTAGGATGTCATTAGACTGTTATCAGCTTCTATTAGAGTTTGGAGTCCTCTTGAAACTTGAAACTTGAAGAAAGGAGTTCATCTTGGAAAAATGCATAACCAGACTGCTTATATTCTTTTATGCCGATAGGTACAAGAAACAAACCATTGGTCAGAGAAAGCCCGAAATATGCACTTATGCTCTTGGATGCACAGTATTGCTAATGTAAACTTAATGTATTTACTCTAATTATATGTAAAATACTGTTTATATAACAGCACGGGAAAGGACTCATGATTCTGAGATTCTGTGATTTCAAGTGTGGGATTCTTATTAGGTTATTGAAGAAAAGTGAGGTGTTTTGGGAACATACATGTAAATGTTTTATTTGACATCTGCTTATAATGTGTTTTGGGTTTTTTTTTTGTTGTTGTTGTTGTTGTACTAGAGATTGAACCCAGCAGTGCTTAACCACTGAGCCACATCCCCAGCCCTTTTTTTAGAGACAGGGTCTCGCTGAGTTGCTGAGGGGGGCTTTGAACTAGCAATCCTCCTGTCTTAGCCTCCTGAACCATTGGGATTACATTATTCCCCCACACAATGTGCAGACATAAAATTCTAGATCGAATGGACCATAGGTTTTTTTTTTTTTCTTTTTTTTTGGTATGGGGGATTGAACTCGGAGGCACTCAATCACTGAGCCACATCCCCAGCCCTATTTTGTATTTTATTTAGAGACAGGGTCTCACTGAGTTGCTTAGGGCCTTGTCTTTGCTGAGGCTGGCTTTGAACTCACGATCCTCCTGTCTCAACCTCCCGTGCTGCTGGGATTATAGGCATGCGCCACCACACCTGGTGATAGAACACAGTTCCAACCAAATGTACAAATTCTGATGCCTTAAGGAACTAACTTCAAATAAGAACTATAAAATTACAAGAGTATTTGCTTATATAATTTTTGTTTTTGGTGGTTTGGTACTGGGTATTGAACCCAGCAATGCTTTACCACTGAGCTGTATCTTCAGCCCTTTTTAAATATGTTATTTTGGGCTGGAGATGTGGCTCAAGTGGTAGCGCGCTCGCCTGGAATGCGTGCGGCCTGGGTTCGATCCTCAGCACCACATACCAACAAAGATGTTGTGTCCGCTGAGAACTAAAAAATAAATATTAAAAATTCTCTCTCTCTCTCTCTCTCTCTCTCTCACTCTCTTTTTTTTAAAAAAAATGTTATTTGAGACAGGTCTTGCTAAATTGCTGAGGCTGCCCTCAAAGTTTTGATTTCTTGCCCCAGTCTCCAAGAATTACAGGCATGTGCTACTGTGTCCTGCTGAAAGAAGGCTTTCTTTGGTAGGGCATTTAGAAGATTATTTGTATTGAAATTATAATAGTTTCAATAAACCATAGGTGAGTGGATAGAAGATGGAAGAGATGGGCTGTAATAGATTGTGAAAATAATGGAAGTAGAGTTAGATGAAGCAGTTCATATAAATTGCCATCTTGGTCAGTGAATGTACAGAAGAGGAAAGAGTACAGTTTTTTTAATATATTTATTTTTTGTTGTAGTTGGACACAATATCTTTATTTTACTTATTTACTTTTATGTGGTATTGAGGATCGAACCCAGGGCCTCACCCATCCTAGGAGAGTGCTGTACCTCTGAGCCACAACCCCAGCCCTAAGAGTACATTTTTTCTGGATGGCTGGATGGTGAAAGAAACAAGCTACTGGGAAAAATGAGCCTGAAGAGCTGGGTGCAGTGTTGCACACCTGTTATCTCAGCGGCTCTGGAGGCTGAAATAGGAGGATCTCGAGTTCAAAGCCAGCCTCAGCAAAAGTGAGACACTAAGCAACTCAGTGAGACTCTTGTATCTAAACAAAAATACAAAATAGGGCTGAGGATATGGCTCAGTGGTTGAGTGCCTCTGAGTTCAATCACTGGTGATGTGCCCACTGCATCCCCCCGACCCCCCAAAAAAGGTGATCCTGAAGATAGAGAAAGGTAGGGCTAACAAACAGAGCAGGTTGCAGAGAAGGGAAAGGGATTGTGGTTCAGGGCAGCAGTAGATGGCTTTTTGAGTCTTGGAGAGGGAGAGTGAGGCCCCCCTCCCTCCAGGTCAGGAGGTCAAAGGAATGTGCATCTGCAGAGGCTGAGTGGAAAAGCTGAAGGATGGTGATAAAGGGTTGGAAAGTTTTAGTCTGGGGATGGACCAGAGAAGGAAGCTAGGGTTTGTGAGGTAGATTGCTGAACTGCATCTAGTGGCCAGCTGGCATCAGGAGTTTTAATTAAGTTTATAAGTTAAGACACTATTTAGTATGAAAATACTACTTTTAAATACCTCTGCCAGATAAGACTAGCAACCTGGGGCTAAGGTAGAGGAAACAAAATTGGATTCGTCCCAGTCAATTTAGGAAGGGAAGATGATCTGGTGAAATGCTGAAAGGGGGAAAGCATTCTTGCTTTTCCTTGACTTCATGCTTTTTGTCCTTTCTGTCTTCCTAAATGTATTTGCTGAGGAGTAAAATGCATGGCTTTGTCTTGACCTTTAACTTACCTTTTGTCTTTATTATTCTTTTAGGAAGTTCAACCCTCCAAAAAAGTCATTAAAAAAGGAAAAATGGGGCTGGGGTTGTGGCTCAGTGGTAGCGTGCTTGCCTGGCATGTGTGAGGCACTGGGTTCGATCCTCAACACCACATAAAAATAAAATAAAGATATTGTGTCCACCTAAAACTAAAAAATAAATATTAAAAAAAAGGAAAAATGGGGAGCTGATTTGGTAATGATTGACATAGTGTACCTAGTATTTTATATTGTATTACAGAATCCAGACTTACAAAATTTTCATTGAAAATCTTATACTCATCTTTCTTTTAGGCCCTGGGTTTTTGCTAACTTAAATAGATTTTAATATTCCTGATAAAGTAAATACTGATGGGCATAAACCGCTATTGTAGTGTATTTTAATATATTTCAGTGTATATTATATTTAATATGATAGTTTCTTTTTTAAAATATTCCTTTTACAAGAAAATGTTTCATCTAAGTTCAGAGAATGTAAAGATACAGTAGATGCACTTACACATACTTATTCTCCTATTTTACTGTAATGAAATGGTTGGATTTTTTGGCGGGGCCCGGTACTGGAGATTGAACTCAGGGGTGCTTAACTACTGAACCCACCACCCCTAGCTCTTTTTATATTTTATTTAGAGACAGAGTCTTGCTAAGTTGCTGAGGCAGGCTTTGAACTCATGATTCTCATAACTCGGCCTCCCTAGCTGCTGGGGTTACAGGCATGCATCATCACATCCAGCTGGTTGAATTGGTTTTAAACTGAATTTAGAGATAATGACTTTTGGTAGTGTCTTTTGTCTTCTCCATTATACTGGCACTTTTGAACTCTCTCTTCCCTCCCCATCATCGTCCATCTTCCCTTCAAACTCATGGTCATATCAAACAATCTGATTTACCATTGGCTTTTAAATCAAACCAGTGGAATTCTTTGGAGTTAATTAGCATTTATCTTATTTCTCCATCCACTGAGCTAAATCCCTAACTCTTTTTTTTTGAGACAGGGTCTTGCTTAGTCACTTAGGGCCTTACTTAAGTTGCTAAGGCTGGCCTCGAAACTTGGAATCCTCTTGCTTCAGCCTCCTAAGTCACTGGGATTACAGGTGTGTACCACCACACCTGATCAGATACTTCTTTTATGATTTATGATGCCCTCCCCTCTTTTGGTGGTGCTGGGGATTGAATCCAGGGCCTTGTACATGCTAGGCAAACACTCTACCAATTGAGCTATATCCCTAGCCTTTTTTTATGATGCTTTTTAACTTAAAACCTACATTAACTTCAGAAGTTTAGGACTAATGAGCATTTTATGCTAAGTGTATGGAGGGACTATGGCCTGCGTTCATCCATGATGGGAGAATGCTAAGATGCCATTACTAGCAGTCAGCTTTAATACGTGTCATGATATGAGAGATGTATCTCTGAATTACTGTTATATTTATTCAATAGTCTGAGAGCCAAAGAACATAAACAGGTGTCTAAATACTCTATTTACTTTAAAAATTTCAGTAAGTCAGTGGATCTAAGAGCCTAATCAACAGCTTTTATAATATCTTTAGTGTCCATCTTGAGGAGGCAGATTTTTTTCCTTTTGAAGGTCTCATTTAAAGTGAAGATGAAGCAGTCTTTCTTTATAGTGTCAAGGTAGTATATATAGAAATAAATACTCATTGTCCCAAGAGAGCTGCCTTTGAGGTCCAGGTGACCTCTTTAGTCTTTGCAGACTAAATGTTACTTCTGAATTGATTTTATATTTCTTGAGGACAGGAACTTCCCAGTGCATCTTAGCTGCTTATGTATTTTCCCCATCAGATCATATGATTATTAGAAGTAAAAAGGGTATTTGTTCAATAAATGAATATATGAATGTTACAGTTGAAAGCCTGTTGTCATTATTTCTCATCAGAGCTTTTAGCAGTATGTTTCTTTCATACCAGTAGCCATTGGCTCCTACTTGATTCTGGTCAGGCCAGATATGGTGGTTCTGCTTCATGGCCCTTCCAAGTTTTCTGGCTGTCTGTGAGGTGGAGCATTTGAGTCATCTCCTTGTTACTCAGGTTGCTTCTTAGTTCGCTTTCAATATGAAGCAGCTGCCAGATTGTCCTTAATCTCTTTGCAAGTGGACTTCAGCCACCTGGAGTTTCACTTTATAGCTGGATAGTCAAGATGCCATTTTGTGAAACATCAGTTTGCGCAACAGGGAAAGCTGGAGAAAATCTGG